CTTTGATTGTCATAGTACAAGTTGAACCTTTCTAGTTTGGCACCCTTGGGAATTTGCTGGTCAGTAGTTACTAGTGGGATTACCAACACTTCCACTGCTTACTGGACTCTTCGAAGAAATTTGGGGTAAATTAGAGCTAAATAACAGCACAGAACAGTGAGAGCCCGGACTGGTGACTGTAAAGAAATTTTATGGGATCATGGGAAACTTGGCCACACCCATAAGTGGACATTGAGACAATGGATTTTGATAGACCAGAGAGTGCTGGATAGTGAGCTTCAACCTGTACTTAGTTTACATTTAGGTTGGGGCCTAACCAATGGGTGATAAAATCTGAAAATACAGCTTTCAATCTTAAACTTTCTTTTTTTAACACAGATTATTCAAGCAACTATTACACTGTACACTTGCATACTCAGACTGAGTCTTCATACATTATCTGCAGGGCCGGCCTTAAGCCGATTTGGCCGAATCAGGCCCCACGCCTAAGGAGGCCCCGCACCTGGAAGTCGGCTCATCTCCCCCTTGCCTGCGCATGCTGCCGGCGTTTGCAGGTGGGCGGGGAGACGCCTGGGTGTGACATGACGTCACGGCCTGGGATTTTAAAACTGTTAGCAGCAGGCGGTGCGTGGCGCCGTGCGGCCTAGCTTCCGGTTCCCCTCCCCCGGGGCCCCCTTCCTCGCCTGGAACAAGCCTTGTGGCAGGAAGCTGGCACTGGGAGCTGCTCCGACCACAGCTTCTCCCCTCCCCCTTTGAGGCAGCTGCAGGGAGATGGCGCCTCTGAAGTCAGTGCGGGGAGCTTCCAGAACTACCCCTCAGCGCACTCCTGAGTCCTTCTCAGCCCTGCCAACCCTGGGATAGTCGCCACCAACAGGTGTGGGTGTTGGAGGATCTCTGGGCTCCCAGGCCCCTCCTGGAGCTGGGACAGAACCAGGAGTCCTGCCTCTGAGTTCTCCCTCCCTCCCCCAAGCTTGGCCCTCACCTAAAAGGCCCCTTTTCTTCCCCCCCCCCAACCTTGTTAAATGCGTCACAAGGCATCTGTTGTGCCAAGCCTAACATTGTCATATTGAAATGGTGAATAGGGGAGTTCCCAGGTGTTATTTGGAGGTACTAAGCGTCCCCCTACCCCCACCTCATGTGTCCCCAACTCCAAATCACGTGGCCCTGGCAGGAGAGGCTGAGGGACTGTGGCTTTTTCAATCTGGAGAAGAGAAAAAGGGGGGGGGGGGGGGGGAGGGGGGGGGCGGGGTACAAAGAGGTTGGTGAGAGGCTGTTCTCAGTGGGAGCAGGTGGCAGAATGAGGAGCAAGGCTGCAGTGGGAGGAGGTGTGGGTTGGAGATTAGGACAGACTCTTTCTCTAGGCCAGTGGGGAAGCCCTGGGCTGGGTTCCCGGGGGGGGGGCAGGAAGAATCTCCATCCCTAGAGGTGTTTCAGTCCCAGCCTGGCTGGGATGTGGGGGTGGGGGATCCTGCTTTGCATAGAGGATGGACTCCTGAGGGCTCTGCTTACTATGGGGTTCTGGGGCTCTTCTCTGTCTGTGAGCTTCACAGGGGAACAGGAAAGCGCAAACTATGGGGGCAGCCTGGCGGGGTAACAGGATGCACGAAGTGGGGGCACCACTGCACAGAATGATGAGAGTGCAAGAAGAGGGGAGTGACCACTGGCAAGGAGATGGAGGTGCAGGGCACAGGGTCCTACCAGCAGTGGGGTGCAGGAGTGAGTCCAGTCCCCTGATGGGCAGCAGGAAGGCTCTGAGGTGGCTGTGGGACCTCGGCTTTGGAGTCTGCTCTCCCCTGGTTGGCAGGGCTAGCCTCAATGTTTACGTGAAGGGTTTGTCTCACCGGGGTTTCACCTGCAGCCTGTCTAGCTCCTCACACCCTGGGAGGTGTCTGTGCTGGCCACAGCTTCCTGCCCAGTGGGCTGTAGCCGGGCTGTGAAGTGGGGCAGGAGCAAAGTGGAAAGCAGAAGGTAGGGGAAGGGAGAATGTAAGGGAAGAGGGTGGGAGAGGAAGGGGCTTGTGCGGAGGGGGAGGGGAAAGAAAGGGGAAGGCACCAAGAGACAGAGTGTAGGAGAGACAAATGCCAGGGGGCCAAGTGCAGACAATGAGGAAAAGGGCAGGAGGGGAGGTGTCAGTGGGAGGGGGACAGGGCGCTGCTGGGGGAGAGGAAGGGCATTGGGAGCTAGAGGGGGGAGGGGAAGGTGCTGGGAGAAGGCTTGAAAGAAGGGGTGGGCATGAGAAAGGCGGGGATGGAGTAAGGCATGTCTGAGGGCACGGGGCATGAGGGGAACTGGGGCAGAGGTGGTGAAGGGATAGGCATCAGGGAAAAAGAGGGCAAAGGGGGCAGGGGCAGTGAGGGAAGGGGGAAGGCACCAGGACGGTGCAGGGCTAAGGAAAGGTGCAGGTGCCAGGGGATTCTGGGGGTGAAGCAGAAGGACACAGACCTGCAGGGGAGGGACCAGCACCAGAGGAGAGACGCAGGGCAGGTGTGTAGAGGGAGGTGTTAGAAGAAGCGTAGCTCACATGGTCAGAGTGGGACTCCTGGAGGAGTGGGCACATGGGGAAGAGAAGGGCTGGTGGAGGGGGACAGGTTGCAGGAGGGCTGAGGGCAGTGAGAAGGGCAGGAGTCAGGACAGCAGAGGAGTGTGAGGAGTTGGGCAGCAGGCACCAGGGGAGATGATGAAGCAAGGAGAGGAGACATGGCAGTAGAGAGAAAAGGTAAAGGTTTATAAAATATTTATTAACTTGGTATGCTGCCCTAAACCTTGTCTGGGCCTGATTTGTGATTCTCAGTCCAGCAGTGATAGTTAACACCAGACCGAATTTGGCTTCTGTGGGGGGATAGGCTTTGATTAATTGCTTAGGCCCCACAGCAATTGCTTACCTAAGTCCCCATTTTTTTTTGCACTCAACAAAAAATCCTGGGTAGAGTTCAAATTGGGCCCCACACTTCCTAAAGCCGGCCCTGATTGTCTGTTTCATTGTATAGTCCTAAAATGACCAGTGTTCCAAAAGTTGCTACTCCATGTGGTAGTTCTAATGTGGTGGAAGCATTTAACGCAGCTGTATACATATGTAAAGGATGTCCTACAACTTTAGGAACCTTTACATCCATTGATCTGAGAGCATGCACTTAAAAAACATTGCTGTGAAGTACCAAAGGCAAATGCATGATTGTTAGTAGGAGTGTTAAAATGTGTGTAATTAAGTAACCATGTAACTGCTGAAAACTTCAGCATGGTTACATGATTACAGGTGGAACGGTAATCAGCTCTCTTGGAACTGGTGCATGTGGAGAGCTGTTTTTTAAGCCAGATTCCTGCATGTACCAGCTCCTACCTGCTGTTCAGTACAGGGTGGCAGGCAGCTCCCCAAAAGCCAGTGCACACAGGGAGCTGACGTTTAAGCAGGCTCCCTGTGTATTCCAGGAGCCTGTATTAACAGTGAATGTTAACCAATGAGTCCAGGCTCATCAGTTAATGGTGTACACAGTTACACTTTCACATCGCTACTTAGTATGTATTCCGAGCTGTTGGCTAGGCAAGGTTTTTCTTTCCTCCAGTAACATAGAGGAATTCTCACAAAGACTCAGAGTTTGAAGGGGGAAATATTAGCTTACTCTTTTTAAAAATAACACACCTAAACCAAGGGAATTTAAAGAAGCTTTTCTCCTTTTCAGCACACCTTAGTTCCACTTTACCCAGACATACAGTCGAAAATCTGATTGACATAAATCTGTTGCTATGAAATTGAACTTAATGTCGTAAACTCCATTTTAGTCAGGTTAAAAGAAAAGATAAGTTGTAAAGGAACAAACCCTTACTCAAGATAACTGCTTTAAATAATTTTCTCTCATTATTTGGGAAGTGAATTAATTATAAGCATAGAAGTTTGCTTCCAGTATAAAAATAACTCTTTACAAATATAGGGTTACTGCTTGCTTATTTTTTGGTGTTTGAACAAAATACATGTACTCTTGTTGTACAATATAGTTGTGCTCTCACTTCTGTAGTTTGTAATAGAATAGTGGTTTGATATTTGTAATTTTGGTGTTGCATGAATACATTTTTAGTTTTTATAAAGGCATACGCTTAACCTAAAGATGGAGCCAAAACTGATTGAGAGCATTTTTTTTAAGTATTGCAATGCTGGGACAAATGTGCAAGAACAGCTTGCAGTTTTGTAAGTACAGCCACTCCGATTTGCAAATAGGACGTATGCCTGCATATCCATTCTGCATAGCTAGTGGCTGATAACATGTTTATGGGCCACGTCATCTCAAATGGTCCCTTGAAATATGTAACTATTTATGCTAAACAATCTATTTCTCTTTAGATTTAGCTGTGACATTCTGGGTGTGTTGACCAAAGCTGAAGATGTGTGTAAGCTCAAATTCTCCCTTGCCAATAGAATTTGGACCAATAATATACATACCTTGCCCACCTTGTCTTTCTAATATCTGGGGCCCAACATGGGACAGGACAAAATTGCAGTTTTGACTAAAAAATAAGTGTGCTTGTAAGTTTTATCATCTTATAGGAATGTGTAATTTTTAAATAGATCAAAATGTGTGTATATTTAATTAAAAATAATCTTGTTTTCAGATCCTAGCAACTTGATGTTGAGAATTTACAGAGCTGAATCATATGCTGGTCTCCACGAGTTTAAAACAGCCATAGAAGAGCTAAATGTTATCATCTCTAAAATGCCAAATTGGCCAGAGGTAAGATTTGCAGGCTGAGGATTTCTAAAAAATCGAACTTGTCTACAGTATAATTAATGCTAAATTATGATGTTCAAATGGCATCAGAATAACTTGGCTGACCCAGTTATTCTTTATTTAAACTTTTAAATTAGTATTGCCTACATGCTCGATCTAAAAAAAATACTCTTAAATTGGGGAGTTAAGAGTTGTGCAAAATACTGCATTTCTGCATCCTTGTTTTATATCTTTATCAATTTTTATTTTAAACTTTTCAGAGTGGAGGGTTCTTGCCCTTTTTCGTCAGTGAAATGTCTTGATGCTATGCAAATATTTTTTTTAAAGTTGTATTTTTTGTTCTTGTATGACATAGACCAGAAAAAATACTCTTAAATTGGGGAGTTAAGAGTTGTGCAAAATACTGCATTTCTGCATCCTTGTTTTATATCTTTATCAATTTTTATTTTAAACTTTTCAGAGTGGAGGGTTCTTGCCCTTTTTCGTCAGTGAAATGTCTTGATGCTATGCAAATATTTTTTTTAAAGTTGTATTTTTTGTTCTTGTATGACATAGACCAGTCTTCTCCCGCGCCCCTCCACCCCCCCCCCCCCCCAAACAATCCCCCGCCCCCA